GAAACTCTTGAATCATTGTGTTTCTATAATTATCAAATGTTGATAAATATCTCATATAAAAACGATGTTATTTAAAGACTATACAAGACAATATGAGATATATTTCACTAAATATTGCAATATTGAAGATATTGACATACAAGACAATGATGAATTGATACAAGAAATGAAATCAAGGGAGTAGTTGTACTCTTTTTCTTTCGTTCAAGTTTTGTCCACTGAATTTTCTTAACAGGTTTTAACGAGACAACATTTTATTACTCGAAATTTTCTTCTTCTTTTTTTAATTTATTGACATTTTTGTCCCATCAGATTTTTGTCAAGTAATTTTTCAACGAGATGTTTTGTAATGTGTCATTCAAATGTGAGTGTTGTAAATGGTAAGTTTATTAGTGAATGATAATTGTGTCCCTGCAACCGTAGAAATTATTATACTCGCATCCATAATTATTTCCTATAAATATGGAACTTTGATTCTCAATAAAATACACGTGAGTATATTGATTTCTCTCTACTTTCTTCTCTTTTTCTTTATACTTTATAACAAAAATCACTTTTTTCCTTCTCTCTCTTCCACCACCACTATTGACCGCAAAAAACAATTTATCCACCGAACAAATGTCGGCCAACCACCACCCATACAAAATATGCAATTCAAGGTAACACACAGACACGGTAAGAGAAGGAAAAAGTGCTTTTTGTCTTGAATAAGTTTCACCATTCCGATGCTTTCTTGTTTCAAAAATCCATAAATCACACAATAATTATCAAAGAAAAAGTTAAATCAAAAGCTAATAAACGTGATGCATACAAAAAAATGCTTAACAAATTATCTTAACAAAATGGACAATGTAATCTTTGCCAGAAGCAGTATCTGAGGGCACCTTCTCCACAAACGCAGGAGACTNTTTTTACATAATTTTATATTTTAAATAATAATATGTTATTGCTCCTAAAGAGCATGACGTTGAAATTCTAATATTCTAGAAAAAAAATTGGCATATTGTTCTTCAAGAAGCAATAGTAGACATATAAAAAGCACTTGTTTCGAAGAATATACAATTTTAAATTAGTTTTTATCATTAAAGAAAAACATATAACTCATGTCATGTAGACATTAATTTTTACATGATTATATCATAGTTAATCATACTTTCAGAAATTAACTATGTCTTTTATTTGATTAAATAGTTATTCAAATTTGAAACATCGTATTGAACCAGATGTTCAATTACTGAATGTATTATTATTTTGCATGATCAGTGGACCATTACTGGATCAATAATGATGCAAAATTAAAAAAAATCAAAATGGATATTCAATGAAGAACCATAAAATTCAACAATTCAATGAAATCATATATGATGTTTTGTTTTCTTTCGTGGAAATTGATCATTAACTATCGCTGTCTAAAATAAGAACTGAATTTTTTATATTTTTAAAATTAATTAAGGTGATAATGGAGCCCCGTCATCCTTCACGTTGACCATCTAGATATTATTTGTATCTAATAGATTTGATGCATATACTAGATGATTGTATGATCTTCACAACTTAAAATTTGCAAAATTATTGCTCAAATTTAAAATTGTGATCATAATTTTTAGATTATACAATCAAGATGATTTGTCTTATTAATGTTAGTGATCCTAAACCACAATCTTTTAATAAGTGTTAATGGGAATGTCGATAAATGGTTTTACATTATTACTTGTTAAATGCCTTCAATTAATTGATTGAGAATAAAGTATTTCTCATTTCTGCTTAGGAAATGCTATTATTAAGCATCATGCTATGTAATATTTCTCCCTGTTATAATTGGTTTTTAGTCAAAACTTCATTTTTTTAATCTAATCATTTTGATAGTGCAGGATATGTAAAATTGATCCACCACAATCCACTAAGATGGGTGATATTTTATATTGCGATTTGTTGATTGACAATTTGAGTGAACATTTCTCTAACATTAAGGGGGGAATTAAGAAGTTGAAAATAATGTACAAATGCATCATCATCTAAATCCTTGCAAAAGACAATTCAAACCAGAAATTCGAAAATAATTCATTTAGATGCATTTACTGACAAAAAAGATCAACAATATCTCACACATCAACTTTAAATGCTCCAATTCGAATTAAAGTCCTAGAGGACAATTAGTTAATATTGTGTTTGGTGGCACGCCTGAAACATGATTATATTCAATTCTAATATAAAAATTTCAAACGAAAATTGAGCAATTAGCAAAGATGGTCCTATTAAGGAGGCATATACTCTTGTTGAGTATTTTAGACGTAACAATTTTTAAAACCCCAGAAGATGTTTAGAAATAGTGAAACTTTAGATATCTCAATAAATTATGTCATTATGGGAAAAGAAATAGAAACGAAAAAAAAAAGTTGTCCACAATACTTTTGTATATGATGTACTGCATCATATTATGAATAGCGGGAAATTAAAATAAATTCATTGAAGCATATCCATCGAAATAATGATCGACCAAATAAAATGACGTGATCATACTAAAATTGAATTTACTAGAGAAATTTGAAGTTTCTAGATGTGATCATAGTAAAATTAAACTTACTAGAAAAACCTGAATTTTCTGGATCTACAGTCTAAACACCCAAAAGTGTATACTTATGCAAAATGAAAATGAAAAAAGTTAAGCAATATGAAATGTACGACTCTTTATATAATAAATTTCGCAAAAACTTGTATAAATAAATAAATTATAATATGATGGATGTAATCACAAGTCTATATTTCATTGGCGTGACAATGCATGAAATTTGATATGCATGTAATAATTGCAATTATAGGCAATTTATCTTGTATGATTTTGATACTATCTTGGAAAGATTTGATACACCTGAAGCATATAATTCATGCAATATTATTATAAGGGAGAGTGAATACGCAATGTATTTTTTTTCTTTGATCAAAGTTTGTCCCATTGGATTTTCCTGACAATGTTTTTAATGAAACAACTTTTGTAGCATACTTAAAAGAATAGTGTACTATTTTTCCTTCATTAGAATTTTTCTCACAATGTTTTTCCTAATAAGGTTTTAACGAGAAATTAATGTGATATGATTCAAGAGTCGAGCCCGACGAAGACAAGCCCAGGACGGGATCCGTTGATTTTCGAAGGAGGCCCGATGACACGTTCGAGGGCAAAGCGGGTGAAAGAGGAAATGGGATTGCTTGCTCAAGCTATGGAGGCCAAAGTTTCAAAGTTAACAAGTCAAGGAACAAGTTTCATATTGGGTTCAGTAGAATAAACTAAATGGATCAAAGAAACCAAATGGATCAACTCGATTCAAGCAACAAACGAGAAGGATGGATGAAAACCGATATAACTTTCAGCTCGGTTGTCGAATTTCTGCCCATGAGTACATTCCGGAAATAAAACGAAATTCTACACAAGGCTACGCAAACGTATGGTACTTTTGGGCTTGCGATTTCATAGAAACATGCCGAAAACAATTTGGCGAGAACTTTAATTTTTTCGCGAATTTCTTTGTTAGACTAGAATTCTTTTTTCTTTCCAATTTTACAATATTTTGTAACATAATAATGTTTTTACTATGTTTTCTAGCCATAAGTATAAATAGGACTTTATTATTCAATGTATGAACCTATAGACAAATTTAATATTNTGCGGGCGAATGATACTTTTGGGCTTGCAACTGCACAGAAATATGTCGAGAATAATTTGGCGAGAATTTTAATTTTTTCGCGAATTTCCTTGTTAGACTAGAATTCTATTTCATTTCCAATTTTACAATATTTTGTAACCTAATTATATTTTCACTAGGTTTTCGAGCCATTAGTATAAATAGGAATTCATTATTCAATGTTTGGACCTTTTGACAAATTTATTATTGAGATATATTCGAAAGGCTATTGTGTTTTTCAAACATTGTTCTTAAAACATTTTGAAGTTATCAAGAGGATTCTTGTGGCGTTTAACACGAGTGCGGATCACGTGTTGTGTAATTAAGAGGTCATTCAAACTTTGTTTTAGTTTGGTTGCTTGGTTCATTAATTTTTTGTTCAAACTCAAAATCGGGATTATTTTTTGGGCTTTCTTGAGATCTTCAATCTCGTTGTGGATTGCGTAATATTCGTTGCTACGTGGTTCTCATCAGAATGTCCATAACTTTAAAGACATTTACTCTCAAAATAATACTTTGATATGTACGAAACTCTTGAATCATTGTGTTTCTATAATTATCAAATGTTGATAAATATCTCATATAAAAACGATATTATTTAAAGACTATACAAGACAATATGAGATATATTTCACTAAATATTGCAATATTGAAGATATTGACGTACAAGACAATGATGAATTGATACAAGAAATGAAATCAATTGAGTAGTTGTACTCTTTTTCCTTCGTTCAAGTTTTGTCCACTGAATTTTCTTGACAGGTTTTAACGAGACAACATTTTATTACTCGAAATTTTCTTCTTCTTTTTTTCATTTATTGACATTTTTGTCCCATCAGATTTTTGTCAAGTAATGTTTCAACGAGATGTTTTGTAATGTGTCATTCAAAGAGGAGTGTTGTAAATGGTAAGTTTATTAGTAAATGATAATTGTGTCCTTGCAACCGTAGAAATTATTATACTCACATCCATAATTATTTCCTATAAATATGGAACTTTGATTCTCAATAAAATACACGTGAGTATATTGATTTTTCTCTACTTTCTTCTCTTTTTCTTTATACTTTATAACAAAAATCACTTTTTTCCTTCTCTCTCTTCCACAACCACTATTCACCGCCGTCATTTAAAAAAAAAAAAAAATTTATCCACCCAACTAAGGCCATACAAAATATGCAATTCAAGGTAACACACAGACACGGTAAGAGATTAAAGGAAAAAGTGCTTTTTGTCTTGAATAAGTTTCACCATTCCGATGCTTTCTTGTTTCAAAAATCCATAAATCACACAAAATAATTATCAAAGAAAAAGTTAAATCAAAAGCTAATAAACGTGATGTATACAAAAAAATGCATAACAAATTATCTTAACAAAATGGTCAATGTAATCTTTGCCAGAAGCAGTATCTGAGGGCAACTTCTCCACAAACGCAGGAGACTTGGGATTTGGTAAAGAATTAGTAATATCTGAAAGTCTCCTTCTCACCATGTTCGCAAAGGAGGACATTTTCGCCATTTTATCCCCTTTCGTAATCCTCCTTAAAACTCCCTTTTGAAAAATAACCTCAAAATTCAAGATACCCAAGTGGAATTTCCAAGAAATGAACACTAAATTTAGACCCAAGATTTATTTACACCAAAGGGACATATGGATGTGTAATTCTACAAAAACATGGTTGAGGATATATTTCCATTTCATACTGTGACAGTGGCTGAAAACATGGTTGACACATTCCCTGATTTGGTATTACCAGTGCCTTTATCAATGCAATCACTGTCAGATCACCAACAGCAATCCAAGGCGATACTTCAAGAACATCATAGTGAGGATCACTCTTTTTCATCTCAGTCAGAAAGAACACCTCACATTATTGAAGTTCGGCGATCACAGAGGAAGGTCAGACCACCTACATACCTTAGAGACTTCCATTGCAATCTGATGACTCAAAATTCCAAGTCTCATACTCAATTACCTCATCATATCAGTCAATTTGTGTCTTATGATAGGTTAACACCTTCATACAGAGACCTTGTTCTAAGTATTTCATCTAATCACGAACCACAGTTCTTTCATCAGGCTGTGACAGATCCTCTATGGCGTGATGCCATGAAACAGGAGCTGGATGCCATTGAGGTAAATCAATCATGGTCAGGAGTTACTCTACCACCTGGTAAGCATTCAGTTGGATGTAAGTGGATCTATAAGATCAAATATAAGTCAGATGACTGTTGTGCGACATAAAGCCCGTTTGGTTGCAAAGGGTTACACTCAGCAAGAACTTGATTATTTTGACACCTTCTCTCCGGTGGCAAAGATAGTAACTGACTAACTGTAAGATTAATGTTGGCACTTGCAGCTTACAAAAACTGGCATTTGGTGCAATTAGACGTTAATAATGTCTTTCTAAATGGAGACGTATTCAAGGAGGTCTACATAGATTTGCCACCTGGTTATCAGTCGTCCCAGGTTGCCAATCAGGGGGAGAAACTGGTATGCAAGCTGCACAAGTCCATTTATGGACTCAAGCAAGCATCACGTCAATGGAACTCAAAATTTTCTCAGGCACTGATTAAATTTGGATTTACTCAATCAAAGACTGATTATTCATTGTTTACCAAAGGAGAAGGAAATCAGTTTATAGCCTTATTAGTATATGTGGATGACATAGTCATCACAGGCCCTAATGCTGAAGCCATCGATCTTTTAAAGGATTTTCTTCATTCACAATTCAAACTGAAAAATCTAGGGACTTAAAATATTTTCTGGGAATTGAAATAGCTCGTTCAACATCTGGAATTGCAATTTCACAAAGATATTACACCTTGCAATTACTTGAAGACACGGGTTACTTGGATTGCAAACCCTTGAATACTCCTATGGATCCAAAGTCACATCTGAGTTTACATGAAGGTGATCTATTGCCAAATGATTCCCAGTACAGAAGATTAATTGGAAGGCTAGTTTACTGGACTCTATCACGTCCTGACATTACATATGTTGTTCACAAACTCAATCAGTTTTTTTCTCAGCCTAGATTACCACATCTTAAAGCAGTGCATCATTTGCTGCAGTATTTGAAGAAAAGCCCAGATCCAGGTATTTTCTTCTCAGCAACAAATGCAACACCTGAATCAGTTCTCAAACTACAAGTCTTCTCAGATGTTGATTGGGGTTCTTGTGTGGATACAAGGAAATCTACAACAGGATTTTGCATCTTCATTGTGAATTCTATGGTGTCTTGGAAATCAAAAAGGCAAACAATTGTGTCAAGATCTTCTGCAGAAGCAGAGATCGAGCTGCTGCTACCACTGTCAGTGAGATTATATGGATCAATCAACTATTGAAGGATTTTCGGACGAATGTGGCATCCCCAGTTGTTCTATTTTGCAATAATCAAGCTGCAATTCAAATTGCATCTAATCCTATATTCCATGAACGAACCAAAACACATCGAAATTGATTGTCATTTCATACAAGAAAAGGTCACTGCTGGAGTGATCAAACTTCTACTAATTCGGTCAGAACATCAGATTGCTAATACATTTACAAAGCCACTTCCTGGATCTGCTCTTAACCCATTTCTATCCAAGATGTCTATAAAGAATAGTTACAGTACATCTTGAGGGGGAGTGTTGAAGCTAGTAGAAGAACTGGAGCTAAAGCACACGAACTAGAGACGAACTGGAGGAGCTGAAGCTGGATCACACCAACTGGAGTAGGAGTTGCACGTGATCTTGATAGTTAGGTTGTTATGAGTCGTAAAATTTGTTAGTGTTGATGAGTTGCCAATTTGATGTATGGCCAGCTGGCCTTAACTGA